CATGCTGATGTTAATGCACGTCCGGTTAGGCAATATTTCTTTCAATCTGTCTGTTCGTTCGTGGAGGCACAAAAGGTTCAACAAGAGGTGCCCGAATGGCTTCATCAAGTAGAAAGCCTTCTACAGATGAAGGAATTTTAAAAAGCCTGTTAAATATGATGCTTTTTACCTCTTTTTTTGTTTCATGTTTCTACTTTGTTTGATGTATATATGTTTGTGAATGTTGTATGTAAACAGGCAATAAAAAAGAAGGCGATGGCGTAGTGGTTAGAGCATCCGATTCGCATGCAAAAGGTCCATGGTTCAAATCTCGGTGCCGCGCAGTTCCCAACCGGAAAAAAAAAAAAGATCCACGTGGTGATGGAACTTCATTACGAGGCCTGGGGTGTGGCCTCACCAGTAACCACCGCCACGAACACACTCGCTCACTAGAGGATTGGCCACCCTGGTGCAGTATCTAGCCACTACAGCTCCCACATACATACGTCAAATAACTCACGGCCCTCAGTCCCCAGCAGCTGCGAAGAACTGACCACGGCGGCGGTCAGATCTGGAACGCAGCACAGGGTGCTAAGAATCTTTGGATCCGGACAGGCCGCCATTGGAACCTGAACTTGGCAACGTTTAACGCTAGGACCTTATCTAGTGAGGGAAGTCTAGCTGTACTATTCGAGGAGCTAGAGGATGTTAAATTGGATATAATAGGGCTCAGTGAGGCTAGGAGGACAGATGAGGCCTATACGGTGCTACTGAATGGGCACGTCCTTTGCTATCGGGGCTTGGCTGACAGAAGAGAACTGGGAGTGGGGTTCCTAATTCACAGAAACATAGATGGTAACATAGAGGAATACTATAGCAATAATGAAATTTGGTAGGTATCGTAATTAAACTGAATAAGAGATACAAGATGAAGGTGGGGTATAGGCGCACCTACATCAAGCCATGATGACGCTTCAGTTGAAAGCTTCTATGAAGACGTGAAATCGGCAATGAGTAAGGTAGAAACATGGGTTTCGTAGGGGTCACTCTTGCGAAACCCAGCTTTCCATCTTTGCTCATGACCTTCATGCCAACCTCGATATTAACAAACAAACCGATTCTACATTCCTTGACTTTGCGAAAGCCTTTGATAATGTACCCCACAAACGCTTAATATTAAAACTCTCTTCGTTAAACTTGCACCCATATGTACTTAACTGGATAAAAGAATTCCTCACTAACCGCATGCAATCAGTGTTTACAAATGATAGTTTGTCTGTCCCTCTTCCGGTAACATCGGATGTACCGCAGGGCTCTGTCCTTGGTCCTCTTTTATTTCTAATTTACATTAATGACCTTCCGATGCACGTATCTTCAAATTGCTGCATATTTGCTGACGACTGTGTCACTTATCGTACTGTAACTGACCCTTTTGACCAAATGTTATTACAAGAAGACCTCAACCATATCCTACAATGGTGTGATGACTGGCTTATGACCTTAAACCCTACTAAATGCAAACTAATCTCATTCACTCGCCATCTAAACCCTCTTCGCTTTTCCTATAACATAGCTAACGTCCCTGTCGAATCAGTAACCACTTACAAATACCTTGGAGTCACTCTATCCTACAATTTGTCATGGAACACTCACATTAATAAAATCGTGTCAACATCTAACAGAACCCTGAGCTTCTTAAAGCGCCACTTACGCAGCGCTCCGTGTCATGTAAAACTACTTGCTTATACATCATTAGTTAGAATATGCATCTCCCATTTGGAACCTGCCTGAAGTTGGTCTTACAAATTCCCTTGAATCCATTCAAAATCATGCAGCTAGATTTATCCATGCCTCGTACTCACACATCAGTGTTTCATCCCTCAAAGCCGCGTGTAACTTATCTCCTTTATCATGTCGCCGACGCATCGCAACCCTCTCATTATATCAAGTTTTTTCACACTCCACTTACCGCCCTCTTTATATTATTCCTGGAGCTCGCATATGTCGTCTCACCGGCCATGCGCTTCAAGTTTTTCGCCCGCGTGCCCATGCTAAAACATTTTCTGCTTCTTTTTTTCCCCATGGCAGCAAAAGACTGGAATGGCCTTTCCCACGATATCGCCACAATCACCTATCAAGCTTCATGCATAATATTTCAAAGGTAACTTCACATCTATCATTGTGACAAACACATCGATTGTATGTTACCCACCCCTTATGTAATACCCTCTCGGGGGTCTTTAAGGAAATAAAAATGAAATGAACCCCAGGTGGTCGAAATTTTCGGAGACCCAATTACTACGGCGTATAATAATACGGTGGTTTTGGGGCGTTAAACTCCACATATCAATCAACTCTCGCAGTCGCACATTCCGTTTAGAATACCAAGTTTTGTTTGTTCGTCCAATTTTTGTTCAGCATCCCTTTAAAGGTTCCCCAATTCTTTACGTGCTGTCTGGAGAGTGACTACAGAGCAACGAGTATTACCACCACTACCTTGTACCATACGTGATGATGGCAGCTGCCCCAGCAGTACCTTTATCTCCAAGCATGACAGTTGCAGTCTTCATTACAGTTCCTACGTGTTCGTTAGTTGATAGAAACAAAGTGCCGGTCGAGGTGTTTCTTCCAGGTAACTGCAATAAGTGCACTGCAAGTTGGCGCAGGAACTTCGTAGCATCCTCACAGCCTGTCCAAGTGGGCCACAATGGTCGCCGTCAACCTCGGGCTGATGACCATCTAACCAAGGAGGATTAGAAAAAAAAATTGCTGGAGTGGAAGCTCCTGCAATGCCTTGCCAGCAGAAGTGAAGCCATCTTTTGCCACTGCCAAGATGGCGGAAACATGCTCTTTTCTGATAGTGCCCACTAAAAGATCAAGTGGCTTTGATACGTTATGTAAATGCTACGTTAGTTCTATATTAAAGGATAGTTGTTCCCGACGAAATAACACACAGAAACAAGTATGGATGACTGAATCTTCAAAGAACTTTGCCTCCAATTAGGGGCTGACTACGGAAAAGTAACTTTAAGGCGCACTTGGAGCACTATGTGGCCCGAAAAAGTTCCCACATTAAACTCGTTGGGCGTGCGAGGGAAACGCCTCGTTTTTAATCGCAAAACGGTGATACTTTATCATGCCCCTAGTAAGATGGCCGCCACAGCTGCCATTTTGCCAGAGGAACGGCTTCACTGCTGCGCAACCATTTCCACTCCAGCATATTTTTATTCCTCCTTGCATCTAACACGGAATCGTCCGCAGTTGCTTCCCGACGAAGTCAAGTCTTGCCATCCATCCATCATATCAAAATGTTCTAGAAAGGGGACTAGAACACTTTAACAATGTACTAGTGCACTGCGAGTCAGCCGTCGGCGTGGGAACTTCGTAACGTCCTCGCAAGCACTACTGTTTGTGCACTTCCTGGTCAATCAATTGAAGCGTACCTTTGTGGATCACTAAGTCTTTCTTGATGTCAGGAGTAGTGCTTTTGAAGTCTCACTTCGAAAATGCACGTATGTGCTCCAGCAACTAACCTAGAACCACGCGACACTTTTTTGCTTGCAGGCGACACTTCACTACCGTCTAATGAGCCCGAAAACGCATGTCGAGTACCGCATCAATGCTTAAAAAATTCCATAGGTCACCATTTTTTAGTGGTTCTTAAGTGCAACATGGTGCATTTTGTAGAAGCCATTATATTGTTCCCTTGTCAGTAGGTATAAATGTTGTAAAGCAAGCATGCTAGCAACCACATTGGCACATGTGAGGGGTACAAAAGCATATTTTTCTTTTTGAGCTGATGATGACCAGTGCAATGAGCTGACAGCTTCACTTCACTCGAATAATGCTTTGAGAGATTCAACACAGTGGTATATATTTCCCAATTTTCCTCTACAACGGCAACACTATTTTTGCCTATGCCTGCAAGAAAAAGCTGCTGGAACTGCACATAGTCATCTAGCTATCAGTAATGTAGTGTGGCAAACGTATTATATATTTCAGACTCATTAAATATAGTCACCCTAATAAAGTCTCACTGCAAATTAGTAAGGTGACCCAGGCTGATATGTCACTTCTTGAATATAACAGGATCTCAGAGGCTGAGACAAGCAGCATGGGTCTGGAACATATGTACAGCAATCAGCGCTTCTGCACTACAGCACACGAGTCTTACATTTGAGATTGGGGACTGCCGCTGAAGATACATAAATGGTGGGGAAGACTCCATTTTTGTAAGTAAGGCCTCTTCAGTTGCTCTACTGTTTTCTCGTATTCCCCTATCTTGTTTTTAACTTTGCATAGTCCTAAGGCAGGCTAGAACACTACCACTTATGCTGTCCCAGCTGTATTGAGGTCAAGTCGCTCTTTTTTATGAGCTCGTGCCCGCTTTGTACAATTTCAGGGAATGGAAGAGTTGTGTAGGAATTTCTGTACACAAAATAGTGACGCACTTACTAGCACCAATAGAAGAATTTTGCTGTTTGGTATGTCACACACGACACACGCACATACAAATTTAACAGACACGATACCAACTGAACAGGTCTCGGACAGTGGCCACACCAAAACGGGGACGGGCGATAAAAAAAGTTTTCTCAGTTTTCACTTCTACAGCAGCAGAAGCAGAGCACCTGGTGTAGCTTTTCCTTTTTACTGTAGCCATGTTTGCACTCCAGTAAATGAGTAATGTTACATTAACAGCATAGATGCCAACAGTAGCACAACCAAAAGTGTTTTTTGTCCCCAGTGTAGCCAGGGGCGAGAGAATGAAATGTGCCCACGCTAATTGTGGAATAAATTTTACGGCAGCACTTGCACTACTGTCACCAACAATGTACACGTGTAGAAGCACTCCTCAGGCGACATGGCTCGAAAAAGGCCGTGTCAACCAGCTTATACAGCTTACGTTGCCAGGCATGCAGCTTGGTCACTGCGATGGCAGATTCCTAAACTGCGCACACCATGCACGCCACATTCATAGAAACATGTGGCAACCGTCCACACAAGAACCACACAACACATCCTGTCTGCGTTTTACTAGTAAACCTTTGTTTCTTTTCAATCTTTTTTTTTTCATAGTATCTTCTGTTCATTTGGTTGTTTCCCTAAACAAGCTCCATCCCTCTCAGCACAGGAGGAGAAAGAGAGCAACAGCTTTCAACGCTCACTGCCAAGCAAGTGGAAGCCTCGGCGAATGCTCCGAATCCTTCCTTCGACCAGTCTTCCCCCAATGGAACTTGGCATCTTTTTTTCTTTCGTTTCAGGGGTGTGTGCAGGGAGGGATTTGAGAGGCGCTTGCGATGATGCCAGGCTATGGCTTGCTTGCCAGCTTGCTTTTTGGCTTGCTGGATGGAGCAAGTATGGCTTGATCTTCATAGCGGTTGTATAATTTCTTGTTTTTCCCGGGTCCGAATTAAGGCTGCTGCTGTCAATCCTTATATTATTTTTCTTCCATCTTCAGCGGAGGGTATTGGGGAGGGGTGTAGGGCATAGAGCTGACGCAATAACTTAATTCTTCTAGCACTGTCTATTTTTTTCCTTTGCCTAATTTCTTCATGCTTCTTCAAACACCTGAAACGACACAACCAACAAAAGTAGAAGGTCAGTGAAGCACTCCTTTGAGCTGTGCTCCAAGTTTACCAAACTCACTTTTTTAACAGCACACATATCAAAGCTGCAAGTACTCAGGGGGCAGGGGGGGGGGGGGGATTTACGAATTGGCTACCGATGTGTGGATTCATGCAAGCGAGTTAGTGGTTGCAGGCAAGCCTAAAAGCTAGCAACGAACCAGCTTCCTCCAACACTTATGGAAGAATAAAAAACTATGCTAAAGAACATTCACTACTTGGCAGTCTCAGGTTGAAAGAGGCTTTTGAAATGTTGCTAGAGTCGCATGAGAAGTGCAATCACTCTGTTATAGTACCTACGAATCACACAATAAAATCTGAACAGGATCTGGAATGCACAGCAGAATTAAAGTGATGCTATGTAGCCATAAAAAGAATTCTAACTTTGCAGCACAGGATTTACATTTAAGAACCGAAAATTGTAACGCTTTTTTGTGTGTCCAAATTACCAATTAACCTTGCACAATTTTGTCACCATGTTGTGCCTTCTCCCGAACTTCGACTGCTAAAGCTTCAATGTTTACATTTCAACAATGGAGACAAGGCAAAAATTGTCAAGCATGTTCAAATGGTAGCATTAGCAAGAAATACACCTTGCAGATATTTCGACCCACAGAGTCAAGGTGCAAACATTCATTTTTTATTTCCCGAAATGCCAAGGGTTTCTCAAAAATATCCTTCAGCCACTTCATTTCCCATGTCCTTTGCATACTACGATGTACTTACTAGTACAGTAGTGTAATTGGCACCACAACTCCCTTTTAGGCCTACACTGCACTATAACTACACAGTAAAACATTGCTACAGTGACACATAATGCCCCTGCTGCTAGTATAGCATAAACAGAATTAGTTTAATAGAGCCCCACTCCACTGCTCCTCCAGTAGGGAGGAGATGCACACTGCAAGTGCTTCAGCTAGGCCAGCCACATGCCTGATTACACAGTAGAAAGGGATCTGTGCGAACGAGTAGTCACATCATGCAGCGAATCGCAAAGGACAGTAGGTCGCGGGCACAGTGAATCTACCACTCTCACTCGATAGTTTACCGTAAGAGACCGCAGCTTGGGCAAATTTCGTTAACTGCAGGTAAATTTCTTCACGCATAAAGTGCTTGCCAAAGGCCGCTCATCAATCGCTTAACACATATAGCTGAGAGGACCTTGGGTGCTGTACCACCAGAAGCAGAGCCCACACTGCCTTAACAACATAGTTTTTCAAACATGCAACACATGCCTTTGTTGGATAAAATTTTTTCCTTGTTTCATCAAATGGGTGAAGGGGAAGCAGGTTCGTTGCAGAAAACAGCCAAGGAAGGGGGTAATAGGGGGGGGGGGGGGAGGTAAGAAATAAAGATGCATCCTACAGCTTCCTTAAACTACATGTGACAAGAGCAGGCAAACGAGAACCAGTCATGCAATGGTCTCATCTCCATGATCTTAGAGGCGATGCCAAGAAATGACACTGGCTACCTGTCTACCCTGCCTGCCCCTGGCCTTCAGTTTGCCACAGAAAAGGGCTGTAACAATGCAAAAACGCCATCACTGGGCCTCGGAGGGGCTTGCGACACGTTACTTCGCTAAATATGCATTTCAACGATATACGCACACTTGGCTACGCTATTGAGAAGGAATCTCTGTAACAATGATGTGGTGGTGCCACAGATGCCTGCTGCACGTTACTGCTGCACAGAAAAAAGGTGTTGCCCTAGTAAATGAACTTTGCTGAGAGTTTAATGCCCCAATGCTGAGAGTTTCAGTGCTTGTGAAATCCAGCAATCAGAACTGGTACACTAATATGGCTGGTGTTATTTACAACAGCAGTTGCAACCAACATGCTGGAGTCAACAATGCATTTAAGTGCCTTTAAGTACACTTAAGAGAAAATCAATTACAGCTCATTAAAATGCTGAAAAGTAGACAAAATGTGCCACCAAGCATTGAAAGCACACCTCAAAAACCCATTAGGATATTGGTTATGCTAGCCTAGGAGCTACAAAATACTTTGAATAAAACTCAAGCGAGGAGCAAAAACTCGTGCAGCAGTTGCTCTGGTTAATGGCAGCACCAATCATCGCCCGACATGTGGTCACAAATGCATGATGCTAACATTTACTTCATAGGGCAGCGGCAGCTCTAAGCTGCAAAACAATATAGTGAAAATAAAAAAAGGCCTGATGGTAATTTAAAATTATGAATTAGCAATGAGTATGCAAGGAACACTATGTAGATGAACAAAATTAGAAAAAAAAAGGAACAATTGGATGGAATGTGTACACTGCATGCCTTCAAATGAGGAAAAATAAAAGTAGAAAAGGTTGAGTGACTATCTTATCTGGGGAAGCACGACTTTATCGCACTGGGCATTACCTGGTGGCAGCAGCCTGGGGAACACTAAAATAATAGAAAACACAAAAATGGTCAAGGAAATGAGACAGAGCACACACACACGTACACACGCACGCTTAATGAAAAGCAAAAAAAAAAAAGAAATAATGGTGTACAGAAGAAGACATCAGACCCCAATCGGAGATCACCAGAAAAAGGGCGGGCAGGAAAATGAAAAAAAGAACAGAAAAGGCTCCACCAGAGAGGTTTTTCCATTCTTTTTCTTTTTCCCAGAGAATGCACACACTTCCACCAACCACTGCTGCACAGGGATAAAAAAATAAAGCCAAGCCACGCATATTTTTTCTTCTTCTAGATGGTCACCCTACATTTCCCGAAGCAGGCGGTGCCAGCCAGAGAAATATGGAGTGAGAAAAAAAAATCGCTTCTCGTAGAGAGTGTAAAGCCAGGCCCGATTGCTGCACTTGTGTTTAGTTACTTCTATGCATAGTGCGAGAGTGAAGCGCTTCAGGCACTTTCGCACAAGTACTGGGAACGAGAACCCTGTATTCTATCGCTAAGTAAGATTGTATGTGATGCAGCCAATGAAACCAAACTTCAAACTTGAGACCAAATTGGCACGCATGCACGGATGCCCATAAAAATATTCGGATAGACTGCAGGGAAACCCTGGTTCCGATCTTGAAGACCTGAGCTTTGAGAGTGTACTTCTTTTTTCTTTTCTTTCGCAAGTTCATCTCGGCTCACTAAAACCCAGCCAAATATTTGGCTTACAGCTTGTAATGGTAGTACGGGCAAGCAACACAGTGTAGTGCAGTTTTACTAGTAACAGTTTCACATTTTCTTAGATCTCAGGCATAAAATTTCGCCTAAGCTGTAAGGGACACAACTTTCACAAACTTTAGCAAACATCCTGCATACCACTGCTCTTTCTGACATCTTAATGCTAGTTCAGTCCAGTTTGCGAATGTTCAAAATTTTCGACCACTACACAGAGATCGAAAGAACATCAACATCATTGTTTTGAAAGCATGGTTCTAAATATTTACTCCTACCCTAGGGTTATCACTGCACCTGTGCAGTTTCAAAACATAGTAAGCCCCCGTTGCAGTACAAAAGAAAATTGCAGTCATGTGCACACATCGACAATGCTAAATATCGCCGAAAAATGGTCTTTTCAAAAATAGGAAAACTGAGGCCAAAGAAGGCAAGCAGTGGAGTGAAAAGGAAGAGTTTGCACCTCATCAGCAGAAAGAAAAGGAAATAAGGGAACCACCACAGGAACAGCAGCAAAAAAACATCCAAGCGTGCCGTGTCACACTATAGTTGTATGTATATGAAAAAAAAGAAATAAAGACAGCGGCAAAAAACAACAGCGTTATGTACACTTGCCACTAACCATATATATGTACAAAGAAACCTCAGAAGAAAAGCCAGTTGCGTGTGCGCCCAAGTCTTTGTCAACAACAGTGAGGGTGCAAAGCCCCTTGTACGCTGCGATAATAGCGAAGCCCTCACAAAAAAAAAAAAAAAACGCCAACACCGCCATTCCACAAAGTCCAGCAGAGGTGGGAGGTTGGGGAAAGAAAAATAGACCAAGCCCACACAATGAATGCAACAGCAAAAAGATATGCATGAAAGTGCTATTAACAGTGTAATAACAAAACCGACTTCACATTTTGCCTTACATATAGTATATACATAAATAAAAGCGAAGAGTATGCCAGGAAAGATTTACGCACGCGAGAGAGAAAAAGCATGGTTTGCTTGCTTTCTTTACACATACTTTACAGCTATGGGAGTGGCACGGCCGCTAGGGATTTGCAATATGCTTAGATACTAATGGAAACTATTACAATGCCATTAGCAGTAAAAAGAAGGAAGGCCATGTGCTCAACACTGCAGTGAAATAATATGTATGCATGGCTTATTTTTCTTGTTTAAAGCTAGGTTCACCAGAGCAAGTGAATAGTAGTCAGCTTCTGCCTCTCACATTTTCTTAATAATAAGTTGTAATCTCACAGTGGCAACGACGATCTGTGCAACTGTAACAAGGTCACTTTTTTTTTCTTTCTTCAAACCCAGAGACTAGTCTGACATTCAGTATTTACAATTAACAGTACATACAAGTGGCTCCGTGTTAAATACACGCCCTTCAAACAACGGCAACCATAAAAATTCGCACACACACTCGAATGCTGCTTACGAAGCTAATATTGGTGTCACACGGGCACTTTTGATCGCGATCAGTGTCGATCCGGATGAACCATGATCCAGATTAGGTGCTGCTACACGGCCACTTTTTATCACGATGAGGAGTGATTGGGATCAAGACTATCGCGATTCGAGATCTGCCCGAGAGATAGCGATTTTGCTGTCATCTGCACCCCCTAGCAGAGCTTGTTGAAAGCACAATAAGCAAGAAAATCGAGAATAGGTCAATAAAAACGCTTTTGAAAAACTGAATTTTCATGAGAAAGCAAATTATCAACTGTTTGATTTGGAACAATATCTGAAGTAGTGGATATTTTAGGATTCGCATCGATCGCATGTAGTTGCGGGAGAAGCAGAGGACAAGCAGACGAAAAGCAGTCGACCGTTGCCTTCAGCGCTTAGTTTAACTCTGGCCTTGTCGGAGCTGTTGGAGCACCTCGAAGCACACTGATTATGAGTGTCGCAAGCCTTTCGACTACGTCACAACGTATGCACACTTCGTGGTCGAATGGAGAGATCTTTACAGATATTTACCACTGGCAGGAGCGACTGGAACAAACTTGAGGCGCCAGAGGTGAAACACTGGCACGTACAACGAGATTGACGCTTCCCTGCGACCTACACGGCTACGAACGAGGGCCATCAGAAATAAAAACGAAGGTTAAGAATCTCACATAGCGATACAGGTGTACTAGGGAAATTTTATCGAATGATGGATTTTATAGAATCACTATTATAGTGGCACGCAAAGTTTGTGACGTTCGAGCGGTTCTTGCACGAATAACATTGCTGATAAAGGGTTCTATATATACATACACCACGTGCAGTTTTGCCAGTGGCATGTTTTGTCACCTGGGCATTTATTCTGACCCAAGCTTGAACCAGATTAGCTTGGGCCGTGTAGCAGCGGTCATAAAGTTAATCGCGATCAAGAAAACTGATCCGGACCACCCTGATCGCGATTAAAAAGTGCCTGTGTGACACCGGTATAAGTCCATTTAGCTTCCTTGTAGCCTGCCATGCTTATTACACATGTGCTAATGCAAAACACAGAAAAAGAGGGGCATTGTAAACAGTTCTATTTAAAAGCAACTAATCAATTTTTCTCTCTTTTTTTTCTTCCAATGGTAAGCAGGGACTAGGGCTGGCCACTTGTTAAGAGAACAATGCAGCATTAGGTAAAAACAACAGGCACAAAAAGGACACTACTGTAGCATGTCTGCACATTCTTTGCAGCAGAGCACAAACACTGCAGCATCATTAAAGCAGCAACCGAAGACACTTTTCTAAGAGGCTCCAGAAAATTTTATCAGCACGTCTACAATCGGCGCTTTCATGCTTTTGCAGAACCAGAATAAAGCGGCACTAAACGTAGAAACCATCACAAGCACCTGTATGCACTGAATAGACCGATTTCACTGCATTCTTAAGCGTGAACCTCAGGATTGATTTTAGACAATAGTGGGAATACCCCCCCGCCTTTTTTTTTTTTTTTTTTTCAGTTGATATTAGAAGTTTTAACAAGCCCACTTTTATAGCAGATTCTTTTTCATCTTACAACTCTGCTTTCATTCTTACAAGTAGGTTTAAGAGTAACCAAACCTTTAGTCCAATAAAAATTTATTTGTGGCAGTGGAGGTACAGTTGAAACATGCCATGAAATTGGTCTATCGTACGTCAGTATGGCGAGGCAAATCTTCTTGAGCCTAGCATATAGTGCATGTTTCCGTACGACTACAGCATTTTTGATTGCATCACAGGGAGCTTTCAACATTGCCCCACTGTTGAAACTGAACAAAAAGCAGAAGAGTACGCAATGATGATTAGCTGTGTCAATGAGGTGCGTAAATTTTCAAATGCTAGTGCCACAGCCGACAATTAACAGGAAATGAGTAGAACACCATAACGTGCATTAAAATATTATTACTTGTTGCAACAAGACGAGCTGTAATATAATGAACAATATCAGCAAGACAATTCCCCTTAAAAGCCTCCTAAAAACTAATGTGTGCTAAAGGAGCACTGACATCAAATTTCAAGATTGAGATGTGCCCATCATTCGATCGCGTGGTATGCATAGGCCTTCTTGGCCAAACTTGAACGACATCCGTCGTGTGAAAGTTATTTTGATTCGATGTCAAACAGCGTAGAAAAGCTAAGGAGAAAAAATTGAAAATAGACTGCCCTGCGACATCGACACTAGTGCTGTGTGTTCAACTGTGATACATTCCAAAAATACCATCCTGAGTGAAGATGCCCTAAGTAGTGATGACGTGTACGATCCGAGTGTTCTTATCGTGGTGCCGAAGCGCAGAAATGGACTCGCTCGTCGTGTCTGATCTTCATCGCACCGGTTTGAATAATTTCGCGAAATTAACAAGATAAAAACCTTCCTTAAAAGAATGGCAAAAGAAAGGAGGATGATTAAACGTGTGCTTGTCGGTCAGCCTGTCGGGGAATCCTTGTGAGTTGCAGTTGAGTTGCAGTCATCTAATTCGAAGCATGGAAAAAGCGCAATGAGGGTGTCTGTTCATAACACCTATGTGTTACACATCAACACGACCACGAGCTATCAAAAGTGGAACAGCGTATAGTCAGATATCATCGCTAACAAATAACATGCAGGTATCATTCAATTTTTGTTCATCTGTAGACTTTGCATCCACATAAAAGTGGTAATACTGTGCTAAACGCAAGAGGCTGGATAGGTGGGGCCATTTGGAGGCGCAAAAAAGAACCTGGCAAAGAAAAAAACGTATTCTATTTCTCCGCTGATGCTCATTCACGATAGCTATATTGTATTGACCCCTCTGCATATACCTGAATGCTTT